GACAGCTAACTAATAACGAATGACGTGTGTTGTAACTGATATTATTTAGATCCAATGACTCTGTCATGTTTCATATTTTAATTCTGTAGGGAGATTGTGCTGAAAGTTTTTTTCATGGAGAAGAAACATACTCGAATGTCGAAAAGCTTCTTAACTTTCTCAATGTAACGTTAGTGCTTATTCATATATCAAGAAAGAGAATATTCTCTTTATCTAATCAGCGTGTGCAGCATATCCATTGAAGATTTTATCAATGGAAAATCCATTACAGTAGCTTATCATGATTTATTCTCGACGAGAGAGATTGGCCTAGGATGCGTTAAATATTACCGATGGGTGTATCCAAAGATACGGCTGGCATGATAATATAGTTCCTTGCAGCATTTCGTTGATAAGTGAAGAAAGAAGCACAGATCTTATTCTTATTTGCTAGTAGAATGCTGACGGATTCGCAAAGAGCATTACTGTATCTTGTTGCTAATCAATTGAACATCTACGTGGGATTTATTCTTTTTTTTCTTGGCATCACCGGTGGAATTTGTAATTTGCTCGTGTTTACTAAATGGCAAATGATCAAACAGAATCCGTGTGTTATTTACCTTGTCATGGGTTCAGTAGCTTCCATTCTCGAATTGTTGAATATTATTTTCATTCAAATTATGTCTTTGGCTTTTCACATCGATCTATCAATATTATCACGCTTCTAGTGAGTAATATATTCAATTCATGTTAAGAGAAATAGGAATTTTTTTTGTTTCTCGTCTGGTTAAAATATTTCGACGTTTCATTTTCTCGGACAATCGAAGAGAATGGAAACATTTTCGAACTAGCTTTATGCAGATATGAGCGAATTCTGTTGAAAACTCTTGAGATTGTGGAAGCATCATGAATGCCACTTATGCTTTCGTTTTTGTAAGTCAAATAAAGCTAAGAATTATCACACAGGCTTTTCAATGAATCCTACCACAAGGAGAAGGGGTAGTAAGCAAAAAATCATAGTTGAAAAATGCACATATTGAACATATTTATCAGGGTACAATACATCATTGTAGCATAAAAAGAAAGCATAAATATCCGTTAAAACTATCCAAAAATTGATTTTTCTAATGTTTCTTGCCTTTATTTCGAGATACTCTCAAATCAAATAAGCAAACTATTCTTCGTTTTCCTTTTAGTTGTAAGATGCGTGTAACTTTCGTGCAATATCCAAGTATGATCGCACTTGCTTCTTACATATTAGCTAGCTTCAATCGATGGGCTGCCACAAATCGAAATGCAAGCATACGACAGCGATCTAATTCTCTTCGTCTATCCATTATATTGTGTTCATTCATCAATCTCTTTTGGTTACTTCATTCAATTCCAATCATTATCTTAACTGACCTTATTCAGACTCCAACAGGTTCATCTGTTTGCATGATCATATCTCCTGGACTTACACGCTATCGGGATGTGTTCTTTCAGCCATTTTTCTATTGTGTTTTCCCTCTTTCGCTTCTCACCTACTTTGGCTTATCGACAGTTTACCATTTACGTGCCTTACATCGGTCTATTGCACCTACGGCTGTTATTCCTAGAAGACAACCACGACGCCGTTTCGATATTCAACTCACGCGAGTGGTCCTCCTTCAAATACTCGTATGCATTCTCTCCACGTTGATGTTTGCCGGCCAAGCAATCTATACAGCTATTACACAAGCATGGATGAATAAGACGCCCGATATTCTAGCCATCGAATACATATACCGCAACGTGGCCCTACTTCTTTTCTACTTAAATTACGTGTTTCCCTTCTATTGTACTTTTGCAACGAGTTCCGTTTTTCGACGGCATCTTCACAGACTTTTGTTATCTTCGATCAGACGTGGATGTATTTTGTTTTTCCCCATACCAACCAGGAGAGTTTGAGTGACAATGATCAGTTGATAATTGTGCTCTACTCTTTTTCTGTAGTCTCATGTATCATGCACTTTTCTGTAAAAGAAATCGGTATTTCTCGAAGTCTTGAGATTCAACATTGAATTATTCTGAACGTAATAGGCACTTCAGATGAATTGAAACTTTTATTTTGTATATTTAAAAAAATACTACGTAGATGAAGGTAAGGGTAATGATGTGAAGAAACACCGAAAATCTGCTATGAGTAATTTTATTCTTTCTTATCAAACTTGTCAGACAGCTTTGACACTGTATTTTTTTTCTCATAAAGGGTTTTAAGAGACTTCGAATCTAAGTCTCAACACTAGAATTGAAGCCTAGCAGAGACTACTGTTCTATAATAGGTGAGTATTATATAAGAAATAGTACTACAACCAACTAGTTGTCCTTTCTTAAAGGACTAATCATCAAGTGTAGTCATTATATATGTCTTAGTTCATGTCGAAAGCTCATGTAAAATTTTCATGGGTCAACGAGCATAAATTCGCAGAAAACTATTTTTTTAAAATTTCATATGAGAAATCTGGATGATGCTGTAGTCTCAGAAAGACAAAAATAAGTACCTTTTTCTATTAATTTGTTCTCTTCTATGCTTTATACTTAAATCTTCATTACACATCCATGAATACAGTGTGAGTTAAAATACCTACGTTTTGTATGCAGTCCGTTTTAGTTGTTTACTATTTCGGATTTGTTCGATACATACCATAATGTCTCATCTTTTTGTGATACCCACCCAAACATGAAACAGAAGTACCTTTTTTTCGATGTCATTTTTTAATCAACTAATGCGTTGTGTTAAGAAAACAAAAATATACCACAAGTAGTAGCGTGAAAAGCTCTACAAGTTGCAAAAAGACAACTCATATTATATATGCACCTTGTGTGGGTGTGCGCGTTAGGGACTAGAAAATGGGCACACAAGCACACTCTCACACCCACACTCACTCGTGTAAGTATGGTTCTTGTGGTCACCCTAAAGGGGAAAAAGCAGTAATGCGTACTTCACTCGTACTTCAGAAATACTGTAGTCTCGCTTTTTCACCTGTAGGTGTTCCACACGGTATCAGAATGCAGTGGCGATGGAAAAAGCTTATCAGACACTTTCCCACTCTGAGAACAAAGATGACTGTGTTTGTGTAGTCAGCGAAAATTCTCGAGTGGACCCTATAGCTGAAATATCTGTTTCTCCGTCCTTTTGTTCTAATATCTCATTCCCACAAATAAACTAATAGACCATGATTAAATTACAAGCTGCCTGTATCATTAATCATACAAGTTTAATTATAATAGCAGGAGAGATTGATAATTGATCTTAGATCACGTTTCTATTGGCTATCATTTTGTTATTTTCATTCGTCATTTAGCAAACAGCCATCTGTGCAAGTGTGCACCATCTGTTGTTGCTGCGATAACTTATCAATTAGTATGCGATATATATATAAAGAATAGAAGTGAAGAAGCTATATTTGGCAAACTTGATGGATTCTCATCGTGTACATGTCAGCGTCTGTAAGGGTAGTACTACAAGTCGACGTAGTGCGAAAAAACGTCGATCGACTTTTCAGTGTTATAATGAACTGACACCACTTACTGAGCAAGATTATCATCAAATTCACTTTACACAACCCTATATCCATGCTACATTCTCCAATGCTCGAGAGATGAACGTTCTTGAAACATATTTTGCCCTTAAATACAAGTTTATGAATGCGTCAGAATTACCTGCCATTCGGGTATTCAAAGCCGATGAGAAACTGTGGAGTGTTGATAATCGACGTTTGTGGGCGATGAAACATGCCAATCGATTTCATTGCGAAGGTCCTTACTCGAGAGAGCACGATTCTCGACGTTTCAACGAGGTTGTTATCAAGCGTCGCAGTTTAAGAGACGGCAGTGGCATCCATGTGCAATTTCATATTGATGCATCAGTCGAGTGCTGTATCATGGCTTTCAAGCAAGGACTTTTGGATCGACATATGGCTGAAATACATTTAAAAACATCACTAGAAAATATTCGATTCCTGGCAGATTATATTATTCCTGATTATTTTGTCTGCAATCGTGGTTCATTATACGATCGCCTGCGTGACAAATGTCTAGCCGTGAAACGCTCAATGGCTCAACTCTATCTTCGTCCGAACGAGGAGCAACAAAAAATGTTTGAGCTTTTCAAATAGATAAGATAAAGGCGATCATGATCAAATCATCCGTTTAGCATTGAATTGGTCCATTGATCCGAACATGACTGTAATATTTGTATCCTAATCCTGTTTGATCCTAAAATTTTTCTTCTTTTCCTCTCGTGTTTCTGCAATGAATAGAGAGAATTTTGAAAATCCACTCGAATCTTTTTGTTGCGATCAATGGGATCAATTAAAGAAAAATAAGTTCAGCGTAATTCGTGTTGAATTAAAATGTAAAACTCGATGGAACTGCTTTAACAATGACGGAAACACATCACTAAGTCTGCCATAGCTCGTCAGGGTGGACCAACAATTAGCACGTTGAAAATTATTGTTAGAATCACAGATCATGACACAGATTTCGACCGTCTGTGGGGACATACTGTGGGGAGGAGATGACGGTGGAGTCTTACTTTTGTTGTGCTGAAATTAATGTGTCAAAATGCATATCGAATGGCTGATTGGATTGGTATTTCAAGCACCAAAATGATAATTTATTCGCATGCTTTTGTTTTGCTATGTTGATAGTATGAATGCATTCGATTAGTATTCGTAGTAGCTTCACATCCATGAAAAAAAGTTGTGGCTTGTTTTTGAGCTCTAAGCGTCTGAATAATTTGACTTTTGAAACGTTAGTAAATATTTGTCGTCTTCAACAATAATTTCACAACACTGTATCAATTCAATCCTGTTTCTCATCTGTCATTACGTCAGACACGTGTTCTTCTGGGTATTTGATGACTCACATTGGAAAATTTTCTTCTGTTTGACTATGAAGAACAAAAATAGTCATTATGCAACTAAGGGGAAAAAATAAGTTTGAACAGTGCCATTTCTACTTATAAATAGTGTCTTCGTTAAAAATTCAATGTGACAATGCTAGTTCAATTTGCAAGTTGTGATAAACCAAAAGATCAAGACAAGAAACTTAACATGCGCTTGGCTAAATTACCGTCAGATGATACAGTATATCTTCAAGACCAAAAACTAACCGATTGTGATATTCCGATCGTCGTACAAGAAGCAGTCATCAATATAAAGTGCTCACGGCTCGTCCTTGATTGGAACAAGATTACGGATAAAGGAGCTGAACATTTTGGAAGAGTGCTTCAATCAAATACATCATTATCAGTATTATTTATGAATAATAATCAAATCTCAAATAGAGGTACTAATTATATCACTCAAGCACTATATACCAATAGAACATTGACTGAATTACATATACGTGGAAATCAAATTACTGATGAAGGAGCACTTTTTATTGCTCAAGTGTTATACATTAATTCAACACTGGAAGAACTTTATCTTGCCGACAATACCATTGGAGACCGTGGTGCTCAATATCTAGCTTTAGCATTAACTCAAAATACAACACTAAAAGTTCTCGATCTTCGGTCCAATGGAATCACAGACGAGGGAATCACTCATTTAGCATACATGCTCAGACGAAATACGACACTGAAAGAATTATATATAGACAAAAATCCTCTAACGGATAATGGAATAAATGTTCTCATGAATGCCTTGTGTAACAATCAGGAACTATGCATATTAGGACTTAATTGTTCGGAAATGATAAATGCATCCTTGAAAATCATCCAGAATATGCTCAAAGTCAATAAGTCATTAATTATGCTTCATCTACCGAAACGATCGTTTTCACGTCATGAACGGCATCAGCTTCAAGCAACGACCAGATCGAAGCAAAACTGTCGAATCGAATTTCGATGAATGATGAAATGTTTCAAATTAGTTCATATAGGTTTTTCTTTTCGTTTTTAACTAATTAATATGACGACTGTTACGTCTTTTGTTGATCGATCACCCGTAATGTCCAATCATATTTTCGATTGTCGTCTATTCATTCCTTCCTCCTTCGTCTTTTTGATCGTTCGATAGAATTCATGCAGTTTTATTCACTTTTTCATATAATAAAAATGTTCACAGCCACCCGTTGATGTACGTACGTCGCTGTTCTTTGATTTTATTTCATTACTTACCGTCGACATGTGACTGTCCACATAATTATTATTCTTTTTTACAGCCATATCTACGTTATACTCAACAGCGACTAATTTAATTAATTCATTAGGCTATCTTTTTTCTCGCAATTTCTTCCTAACAACAATCATCAATATTAACAAACAAAACTTTCACGATGATCACTCTATATTATTCGTAGATATATACTGCCTTCTCACTCTATGAAGACTTCGAAAACAGGAACACAAAAGCAATCTTGAAAAATGAAGGCTCTCGAAAATCGTTTTATTTCGTTTTGATATACATTAAGATATTCTTATGTAACACAATTTGATTATTAATAACTATTATTATATATCGTAAAACATGTAAAAGTTTTTGAAAAACTGTCGGGACTCATTTCTCAACAGCTGAACATCGAATGGATCTGAATTCTTTTTTATATGAAAGAGCTATATTTTATAGAATGGAACAAGTCAATATCGCTAATAATATTAAGATTTGTTGGCTTCGAAGTTTCTCTTATCTCAAACATAGAGTTAAAGTTATTCGTAAATAGAGCGCTTCAATCTCTATCATGGCATCCATTCGAAAGTTTGTCTTTGATTACATTGACGATAAGAAAAGTTCTCTTTAACGGTGTTTCTTCCGCTGCAATATCAGTTCGGGAAAAACTCTGAAATAGAAAAAAATAATGAGTTTGTAAGAGTTCTGAAATAATTTTCTAAATAGAAATTTTTCAAATTCCAAGTCTTAGATACAATATTTTAGTTCTATCGAACGGGACATTCTGATCATGCCACGAAAATATTAAAGTAGTAACAGTTGTTTAATAGATGTTTTCAATTGTTGGAAAGGTTTTTAAAGATCAAACGAAAAAATGCTCTTGCACAGTATGTATAAACTGGATAAACAATCTTTTGCCTCATGTATATATTCCAGACTTCGATCTTTCAAACGAAGAAAAATATTGAAGTCAAGCCAATGCCACATTTTTGAGAAATAACTTTGAACATTTTCTCCAAGTCTTTCGTATTTCTGATTAATTAGAAGTAAATTAACAAATATTTATCAACACTTATTAGACAAGTTCATTCGTTATTCATTTCATTTTAATTCAATTATCACAACTAAAATTTTGTTCTTTTGTGATTATCACCTTCAAAAACGATCACTAATTAGGCTATATCAGAATAGAGCAATATTATTGTCTTCTCCTCTTGAATGCTTTTATTTATTTCTACGGTGTTGATGATGTCCTAATGTTTTTTCTTTTTTATGTTCTATTGGCAAGAAAAAGAATTCTCTTAACTTAAAGTTGATAAATTTCGACGCATAGATAATCATTAATTTATACTATCAAAATGTAACTTCGATGATGATTTTATTTTTAATTTAAGGTCATTTCACGTTGCAGTATAAGGCGTAGTTTGCGCAGACAGAAGGGTACCACCCACAACCAACTAAGTAGAAAATTCTATATTCTCTAAGAGAAATATCATCTTATTATTAAATATAAATACTTTCTATGCTTTGTATCCAATAAAAGAATTGAAAATCTATATCTTGAATATGAGAATGAAGATTCATTGTCTTGATATATATTTGGCAAGCACATTTATCATTGCAACTGATTGTTCTTGTGTTATAAATAAAAGAAATATGAATAATACAGATTTATATTTCGATAATCCAATGTGAAATAGAAATAAAACAATGCTGTTATCTGACTTTTTATTCATCATTGAAACAAAAATGATTTCAGTTTTCAACATCAGTAATTCTTTTATTCTTTTAGTAGAGGGTATTTTCTGCACGTAAATGAATTGTATTTTTCTCTATTTGAATTTGTAACAAAAAAGAAAATAGAACATCTATAAACTTGAAAAACAACCATCATCTATTTAGTCTTTATTTCCAACGATAATCTAATGGGTATTTTTTAATCAGGTAATAGTATAATTCCAATAGGTCTAAAAAACATATGAATTAAAAAAAAACAAAGGAAATAATAATCACAAACAGAAAACTTGAAATTCGATTGTTTGTCCTAAATTACTTACTGCTGTTTGAATTTCAGACCTATCTTGTGTTAATATTGTATCTTGCAAAATAATTTTTGATATTTGTAATTTTATATTCATTAGTTGAAAATATTTGTTTGCGAGAATTTCCGACTCATGTATTTTCAATTGATGATAAAATGAACATATTGAATTTTCTTGATTTGCTTGACAAGATTCATTATTGATTTCAAACAATATAAGTTAGAAAATTGCAAATAATTGTTCATCGAAACCAATAGATATTGACCAACATCAAACAGAAAATATTTCACACTAATATTGGCTTTGTAGCATTCTCTTAATGAATACCTATCATCATAAGTACAATGTATATCTGCATGCCAAAGTTGATTAAATACACTATTAAATATATTAAAATTGAATGCATCATCATAACAGAGAGAAAGACAAGTTAAATTTAGAAAAGATTTTTCATATTGTCTAATTTGTTTACGATATGATAAAGTGCGAAAAATTATTGACATGACATTTTCGAAGATGAATGAAAAACTTAATTCAATTTCTGGCTACATTCGATTCTCACTGAATTGTAAAGAAACAATTTGTTCTAAGTTTGATTTTTCGATCAATTATTTTAATAAATTGAATACAAGGATTAGATAATTGAAATCTTCTTGGAGGATCATTTAATGAAAGATATTTGACTGCTTCAAAAATGATTTCCCAATAACGGCTACGCGTTTCAATAAAATCAAATGACTTAAAAGAATATTTTCTTTTTACGTAATTTAATCAAAAATATTTCACAGTTAGTTGAGTTTTCATTGCCTATTAAAATTTCACGTGTAAATAATAATTTATATTGATATTCAATCGTTATTGAGCATTCTTTAACGAGAGAATCATTAAAGAATTCAGTAGAAAATATTTATTTCCAAATTTTCATCAAACTGATTAGATGAAAAAAAAACATCTTCTAATTCAATTGTATATCTAACTCACATTTTTCTATTTGATTTAAATATTATATCCCAAAGTCAAATAATAAAATTCTCAACTAAATAATCGATAATCATCTTTGAATAAAGTATTATTTCACAAAATCTTATACTAAATAGATTCTCATCATTATGTATGTAAACAAGTACTAAGCGACGTTAAAATATAAACGATCGATCTATTTTTGTTGAAAAAGAAAAAGAAATATGAATATATTTCTTGAATTGCAATTTAATAAAAAGCTGCTTGACATGAACTTTTTATATGATATACGTTCATCAATAAATCTATTTTCTCTATTAAAATAAAATTAACTTACAAGGAATAGAGTATCGCTTAATTGGCGACTATAATCAATGTAATCGTCATCGCTTTTTAGTTTATTATCATTCTAGATAAAGTATGCATAGAATTATAATTTAGTTAAATACATACTAAGCATAGTGGGTTTTTGGTTGCATTTTATGACAAAACGTAAGTATTTTTACTAAAATTTCAAAAGTAGCTTGTTTAAATGCTATAATGTGCGTCCCAGAACTAAAATGTGCAATTAAATATCTTTAAGCAACGAGTCGCTAACTTTCTCGAAAAAACTAGAGTACAATGCTTTAAAATTCGAAATCTTCTACTGGTTGACTTTTAAACTAACTGCTTCTGAAAATTTGGTCTATTTGTATCAATATTGTACTATCCATAAAATTTATTTTGATTTCTTCTTGATCTGATCGATCTTAGATGATAATTAAAAATTATCTATGAAACACTTCACATGTATTTTTCTTTAGCGAAGTCAACAATAATACTTAATACAAATATTTACTTACAGTATCCAAATGAAAAGAGAATTGTAAATAAAGTTCTATCACTAACCGGAAAAATTAACCCATGCGATTGAACGAAAGTAGAAATATTTGAAATTTTTATCGCAGTGCTATGTATGAAACACTCTATATTTCTCTCAAAACTGCGAAAGCAAAGTGATCTTGTTGAAAGTCTTATTCAATATCAAAAAATGCAAATCCTTTTTTCGAGAAATTCCTAAACGTTATTAATGCATAATCATTTTTTGAAAGCATTTGACTATTTTCGAATTTCCACAAGCTCATCTAGATACGCAGTCAAACAAATTAATATCTATATACGTGGATTGATTAGTCAGAGTGTGACCTCTGAGCGCGTATTCCTATACGTTGGTTACTTGTTTTCTCTTCTCTGTTCTGTTGTCATTCTTTTATGTGCTTGGTCGGCAATAACATGTTATGGATAAAAGTGTTATTTATTTCCAATGCTTCGATTCGTATTTGTTTCTCGTTAGATCGGAATAAACCGAAATCCCTAAGTCGCTTTACAGCCAAATCTGCATGAGTCATAAACACGCATTAGCAACTTTCCCTCGTTGTGACTGCGAAGCGATAGAAATTGCATATTGTTGAAAATATTATGATTAATGTAATAGAAATGGGATAATTATCTTTGTAAGGATGCTCTACTGCTCTTAGATAAATTTGTTTTCGAAAATGGTCGCCACTTAAGATGAGAAAAAGTGCGAGGTAAGTAGAAACATTTTTCATTTTGTTTTTTTTTCGCTTTCATACTAGACGAAAGAAAATAAAAAATCGACAAAACGTTGTAGACGATGATTACCATGTATATGTTTATGCAAAATGCACATTGTATCGTCAACAATCAGGTAAAACATGGTCAATGATACATAGCTATTGTGTGTTGTATATAGACACACCATAAAACTTAATGTACTATCAATGTAAACTATGAGAAGGCAATTATTCACGTAGAAATACGAATCACATAATTGTCTGTGTTTTCATTCTTAATTTTAGATGACTTCTAATATGAATCTCTTTGATCGTTTGCCTGATGAGCTGCTTGAACAAATTTTTCTATCGGTGCGTCATCTGCCAGATCTCACCAAAAACAATCATGTTCGTATTGCGCCAAAATCACTATACTTCGACTATTCGATTCATCAGCCTCTTTTGAAACAAACTTATGCTAATCTTCTTTCAATCTCACTTGTCTGCCAACGTTTCCATCGTATTCTTAAATCATCAGATTTTTGGCAGCAAAAATGTCATCACGATTTTGTCTTGCTGCCTAATCAAGTTTTTCCTAGCGACTTTAGCGCCTATGAAAAACTCTACATAAACAATCCTTTTCATCCATCATTCAATCTAATCGTGGAGAACAGATGGAGAAAATCTTCTAATACGGATTCACGAGTTGAATTTCTTCCAGTTGGCAGCGATCGACTCTATGATGAATTCCATCGTCTATCTGTTTGTCGTGTGACGTCTTATACTTGGGGACATTTCTTTCAACGAGATATTCAACTTCTTAACGACAAACTCTCATGGCAAGATGTAAGTTATTGATGACCTTTTAGAGATTCACCTATCTATATTCTCTTTCGTGCCTATTACAGAGTCTAATTAGGTCAATAGAGAATTTTCTAGGAGAACACAAAAGAAAAATAAGAATCTATGTTTTTACTTCGAATGCATAGGCCGATATG